CATCTGTGCCCATACTTTTAGAATTTATAAATAGTTAATAATTAACTTGACGCCTCATATATGAAAGCAGTGTCTCCCGCCGGTCTAATAACAATACAATAGCTTAAATTTCGAATATTTCTTTGTGTCCAGACTACGCGTTGCAGATGTTCGCTCATCCCAATATTGCTGCCGCGGGCTGACGGGCGCGGCCCCAGCTGCGGAGGAGCAGCGGCCCGCAGAATATCGGCCGAACTCGGCGCGCCGGAGACACAATCACATCGGTCATCGAGAGTCGACAGCATTAGGCCCGATTGGCCCGCAGATATTACAACACGGCTCCAGACGGCCGACCATTCCACGGATGGAAATCTAAATCGATATCGGAGCGGCCAACATAACTCGGCCCGGCTGACACAAAGGCTCTGGGACCGCAGTAGTCGCAGCAGCCGGCCAATTGCCACCAGCCGGGAGGAATTCAATGCAGTTTCGTTTCATCAAACCAGCGTCTTCAGTGGATTAACAGAATGGATTCGGAGTCAATGATGATTAGTTCGCACCACAATGGGCCTTTTCGACCGCAGTCTGGGCGCTGAATGGATAGTTTCGCCGAGAGGACCGGCTACCAACTACATACTATAGGATGTTCCTCCGAGTGAAATGCAGATGTTTCGGAACAAATAATTTCATACCAAGACAGAAGACACGCGGCCATTGGCCACAAAACCATCTTCAGCGACTTGTGTCTGTTCACATGCGGTACCCCAGGTGTCTGTTTTTCTCAATATCCTCAGATGACCCATTGTCCTCCCCGGTATTCAGAGGTGACAACAGCACGCCGACACAAACATGCTCCAAAGTTATCATTCCAACGTCGCTCTCCACAACTTCTGAAGAGACAAATTTCTACACGCAGAACGTTAACAACACAAAATAAACCACTTCAAACACTCGCCCACAAATAGAGACCTCCAGTAGTTGTGTGTCTCCAAATGCCGCAATTTTCTCAACCTGAGCTTCATATAAGTTGAGGGCCTACAGTTTTCACTATTCTTTCGAGAAGTTACTCAGGTTTCATAATCTAGCTTGTATTTCTCATAATAAGGATTTTGTTTGCAACAGAGTGGCTTTATGGGCTTTCTGCTATCTATTTGTGTTCCGGCCTTGCCACAGCGAAGCAATGTGTTTCTGTCAGGCTTAGGCAGTTCGTTTCGGCCTCGTTTCGAAGGGATCTGCTCCCGCTAATCGCTGCTCTCTAATCGTCCAGACTGGAAAATGCCAGCAGATGCGGTTATGAAGTGTGGGCCGCCTGCTCGAACGGACGGCTCCACAACTGCAATACATAATACCCAGACAGACGCTCTAATTAAAACGCCCGGCGCCCACGCCGCTGGGTTCCGGCCGGCCGGCGAGCTTCCCCAGCCCTCCCCCTCCTTCCACCCACGGCTCAGCCCGACCAGCCCGGACGACCGACCGACCTTTAGAGCTGCGGCGCTCCGGACCGCAGCCGCCGCGCCGGTCCACACACGCATCTCAACTAGCCGGGCCTTTCACAGAGGTAAAAACGGTCTCCGGAGAGTGTTGACGCAGCCGCGGACCGGCGCCGGTGCGTGTTTGTGGGTTAACTATATTAGCGCGCGTCAATTGGGCCGGTGAATGGTGTGCGCGTGCGTGCGCCCCGACTGTTAGTTCGTGCTCCAACGAGCCACGAGCAGGCGAGCTCCGTTCACATTTGATATTCCTAATAGGCCGGCGGGTGACCCATGCCCGAAACGTGAGTAAAGGTCGCTCCGAGCCGGCTGTTTAACCCGCTGCGAGAGATAATTCACGGTTCTGATTATTTCCAATGCGGCTGGAACATCGAAAGCCGTGTTGCCGACTGAGAGCGGGCTAATTTTCGTCGAAAACCCTTCCCAGAACTAGCACGGCCCGACGCAGCATAGCGGTCACCTAATAAGGCCAGTAGGGGCATGGCTACGGGACTATAGCTGGACAGGATTCCCACGGGTACAGCACGCTAAAAATACTGCCCACGTGCGTCCCAGAGCTAGCCATTAGATCCAATGAATACTCGGTCCCAAGAGCATGGAATTGTGCTTCGCTCCGGGCCAGCTCACCATGTGACCTCGGCAAATCCCCGACTGTGCCGAGCCCCGAGGCCGCTCTGAGAGCAACGGTTAGTTTCTACGAGCATTGAGTGAGGCTGAGTTTCCATGGGTTTCCAGGGTAAGACTGATTACGATATTTCATTTCCACTACACTTTTCACTCATCGCTATCATTTTATTTCCACTCGCAGTCATGCAAGCAGCTCGAGCCTGACCTACGGGTCAATCTTTCTTAGCTTTCTGTGCTCTCCGTGACCCCACCGATCGGCAACTGCGCCCCGTCAGTCAGTTCGAACTCCGATCCGAACCATTCTAAGCGATCTCTCTCCGTTTTGCCCATCCCATCCGTCCCATTCCACGTCGTTCTGAGCCGTTCCGAGCCGTTCTGAGCCGTTCCAAGTGGTCAACTGTCCAACAAACACTGCTGGCGGAGCGTTACGACCGCAATCCCGGCCGTATCTCACGCCAGGCGCGCTCATCTCGGCCGGTCGCCGATGAGCAGCCAATTACCAGCCCCCTCACGCAGTGGGACCGGAGCGGACGCCATCTGACGGCCCAGTGCTGACGTCAGCCGGTGATGGTGCAGCCGGTGACCCTGCAGGGATCAGGGGTCAGAGGCGGACGACCGGCGGACGAGCGGCGGACGATCAGCGGATGCCGATAGGCGCCGGCAGGCCGCGCCGAGCCGAGAGGAGCCGAGAGGAGGCGCTCGGCGCAGCGGAGTCGCTTGGAGGGAGACCGCGGCGTGGCGGCGCCGCGCAGTTCAATGGCGCCCCAGCCGTGAATAGCGCCGTCACCGGCATGACGTCTGAGGTATGCCGCCGTCACCGGAGCGCCGATATTAGCGGCGCCGACGACGGAGATCCGGCCCGACCGGCGCCGACGGCCCCTGCATACTTTTGATAACGATTGTCAAAGCGGCACATTCTGAGAGAGCCTTGGAAATAGAATCGGGCACCTGTCAGAAAAGCCGCCGTGTTTCCATATTTCTGGCCGAGACGCGGCGCGGTGCGGTATGGATCTGTACGACCTCAGAGGAGCTGTTTCCTCCGCCCACACATCCGCTCGGCGCCGCCTCTGACGCCGGTAGCAACCCATTAGACCCTCAGAGGCCTGTTTCTCGGCCTGTTTTCTGTATTCATTAGTTGGGCAGCTACTTAGCTCTCGGCAGGTGGCCAGCGGGCGGGCAAAAAGAGCTGTTCCTCCCACCTCCGCCCGGGCCGGAGCGGGGCGGGCCAACTGACCGGCGCAGTGCTCTGGGAGGGTGATCGGTACGTGCGCGAACCGAGCTCAGACTGTGAGCGAGCGGCCTCCGAGCAGCGAACTGCACCCCGGGGACATGGGCCGACGTCAATTCATCCGTCTCGTCGGCCACCAAAGACGATTGATGGAAACGGCCCGCCTCCGTAACTGACTTTGCATGAGGTTTGGACAGAGCTTTCCTGTCAGATTTTATAGGAGGGTAGCTTGACTTCCGCTGGCAGTCCATTATGCAGCATGACTTAGCTGGAGTAAAAACATAAACACAAGAGTCATGGCGCAGTGCCCGTGCTTAACTGCACGGAAACATGGCAACGCTCTCAAACGGCGCCCCGGAGAAGCATAACGATGTCTTCAAGTCCGATGCTGGGGACCATAATTCAGTGGCCAACGCATTATGTTCGGCGAGGCTGTTGTAATTGCTAACGGTAGCAGAACTTCAACCGTACATCAAGTACGTCAGCACCCGCAGGCCTGGGAATTAATCACAGCATTCAGCCCGTTCACAAGAGCCGAATCCGGCCGGCTTTTAAACTCGGCCAATCCATCGGTTTCTACCCAAATGAAATTGCCTTTTCGACATAATGCCGGACACATGTTGGCCAGAATGCCGGCGGGGCCCTCCAATGGTCGGACATCGCTCAGGCGTCAGTGGCGGCGGATTTAGTCTCTGCTCCGGCCCTGGCTCCGACTCTGGCCCCGGCGCGCCGCTGGTGACGAGGCCGCCGGCCCAGCCGCCGCCCGCCGCCTACAAAGCGCCCAATTACAGCTGGCACCCCCTGCTTAAGGCACTCGGAGCTTTAATGACCCGTGCCAAAGTGCTGAGTTGAATCCAGGGTTACATTAAGAAAACATCTCGTCTGGTGCCAGTTAGAAAATCTCTTCTCCTTTTTTGCTCTGGCCTCTTGCGCTGTGACCAAATGGCGCACCATTTATTCTACCGTTTCTGAAATATTCAGCGAGTCACAACCCCTTGCCCTCGCATTATTGTGCGCCCCTCTCTTCAATTACTGCCCGCCTGGGCTGTGATCAGGTGCGATGTTTTATCCCTCAGCCGACCCTGGGGCCGCGGCGGTGGTCTGTTCGATGTCGAAGTGTGACGGTGCCAGGAATTCGGGCCGGCGCCGATCAGACGTCCCCAGCCGCGCTGACGCGTGCCAAACTCAGAACGCAGTTGGAGCCGGCCGGCGGGGGCTCTCAACACGCAGATACCGGGAGGGTGTGTCAACGGCATTGGCGTAACACACGGCAGGATAAGGCTAAAGAGCCAGGCTACGATCTTGCCTTGCACTATAGTAACACAGAGTATACTAACATGACTCAAACGCTACATTGCTGCAAAAATATATATTTAATTTGCTGAGTAAAGTAACGGTTATTGGATGTCACTTCGGATAAATTCAGGTGAATATTACTCCCGCGGCAACATCCGCTAATATTGTTTCCACGAGGCATCTTATCGAGGAGCAATATACGAGTAACCTATTACATAGGCTAGTCGAAGTCAGAAAAGAATATGTGCAATTCTTATTAGGTGTGTGTCTGTTTATATTTATCTTTTGACTTTTACTTTTCAATCACAAGAAATCGGAATTCGGCAGCTTCTTGGTCTCTTATTTCCGCATAGCATAAAATTATGACTAGCCGTACTCACCATCGCAGAATGCGCCACAAGCCAGTAGCACTACCAGAATGGCTGATCTGACCTCCAGCATGGCGGGCAGGTGCGGTCAGCACTCACGGGTAGGTCCGGCAAAAACGTCCCTCGGCCGGTCAGTCTCTGTTTCACTGCGCCCGCTATGGGCAGCCCTCAGTCCCGCCGCACCCACCAGGGCAGTCTCGGGGCACACACCCCGCTCAGTCCACCGGGTCGCGCGCTACGCACGTGACCGTTACGTGCTCAAACACCCGACCTCAACCCCTCACCGTCACCACACAACTGGCAGAGTCGTGCGGAGGAGGCGGCGGCGCCGGTACGGAACCGACCGCAGCGCCTCTGGCGGCCGCGGCGGGAACTGCGGAGATTCCCACGCCAGAGAGGGACTAGCACCAGCGGCGGGCGCGGAGAAAAAGAGCGGGGGCGTACACTCCGCGCCCGCCGAGCAAAGGGTGGACAATGGTGGCGATTAGGCCCGATCATTATGTAAGTCGTTTGATAAATGGTACGATTACACAGTGACCGTAACAAAGTGATTATTTTCTTGGACACGGCTTTGTAATGTGGTGTTTGGGGTGGCGAGAAACACGTGTATCAAGGGCATGACCTGCGCTGAAGAGGTACGCTTGCAAGAGTTATGAGGCTGTTTGCCGTAGCCAGCACTTAAACTTAAATTGAACTTTGCATTGATGACTTGAAGATAGAAGTGCTGCTTGCATTCCAGCTCTTAGATGTTCGATTAACATTCAAGGAACCAGAATGGATGAGTTCAGAATATCATGCCAGCCCGTTCGCTTTCAACTTTTCACTCACCATCAGTGACCACGGGCCCAGTTGGCATCCTTCCATGCAGAAATCAGAGCCTTTACACCGGTCTATCTTTCGTTGCCCAATACCCCCTCCCCACCGCGCCCCGATTTCGTCGGCAGCTGGCCCACCCGCCGCCGCCGCCGGCGATAGCCGCTGCCCCGTCTGTCGGCGGCGGGTCCTCCTATCGGCCATCAGCGGAGCAGGGTGCAGATAAGAGGTGAGTTCTCACCGCGGTAATCGCTGCTCGGTGACAGCCGCTGGCTCAGGGCTCTCTGGACACCTGGCGCGGCGGGCCGCAGCTCTGTCTGCCGCCCCACCAGAGCTGGGCGGCTCGAGAGGGCACAGAGGAGACGCACGGGCGTGCGTAGATGGGTGAGATGGGGTGCAGTTGCGCGGTGTCCGGGGGTTAGACCCAAGATGATATCATTCATTGTGATGGATATTTTCGGAGAGGATGCTAGGGACACGGATGATTACTCGGCGGGCACAACTAACAAAAGGGGTAAAGATGTTTATCAGCATGTAAGGAGACAATACGAGGCCGATTTAGGTTAAGATAGTTATCATTTTGGGCTGTGTGGGGAGGCAATATGACACCGGTTCCTCGTGGCCATGCTAAGCTCCTTACACAACACGATAGAAAGAGGGATAATCGGCTTATTCCGTCGGGACGCACCAAAATCACGCCACATTTATGAAGAGGAATGCATGTAAAAACGTTTAAGCAGAGTGCAAATCAGATTAGACACAGTCCAATTAAGTAACTGTTCGTTCCCCATCACATGTTTAATTGTTCAGTATGAGTACTAAATGTAGAATGGTGTGCAATTATCAGAAACTGGTTGTAACATTACAGAGAATGACCACATATCTGCTTCGCACAGTTCAGCCGTTAAAGAAAAACTTCATCCATGTTCTGGCATTCTTAAACTTGACACGTTGATAAAACATGTTTACACAACATAAGTCTTATAACATTATCCAAGGTGCAAAACCTAAGCTGAACACAGAAACAACAATCGAATTAAAATCAACAGCACGAGTTTTCTGTGCTTAGAAACGTGGCATACCATGTGGCTAGTAAGTTTTCCATTTGCTTTAATAATAAAATATCTTTAAATTACTGAAGTTTCTAATAACATTAAATCCACAGCTCGCTTGTGTAGCCTAAATTTGCTCACAAGTGATGCTATATTCAAAGCCTTGGCGTTTGGCAGCGAAGTGCGTCTGTTTTGCTTTAATCTTGGCGCATAAATCCCGCTGTAAAGTGGCGGTGGCCGACTCCGTTGTCTCCCCGCTGCCGGAAGATTGACAGGGCCGCTGCCCCAGAGCGCTCTCTACCATTAGCCGCCCAGATGAACTCTCCGAGAAAACGGGACGCCACCACCGACGGAAGGGAAGCGCTGATGAGCCGCGAACGGCGACCGCCACTCTAACCCCGCCAGAGCGCACTTTGATCCCGGACTCCTCCCAATTAACCTTTGAGCGTGATGTTGCGATACACTCTGACCTGGCTAGAGTGCGGCCGGCGCATCTATGTCGGGATCGGACGCGCTCTAACAACCTGTTTCCATTGCCTTTCCATAAACCCAGGTCGGAGAAAAGGTGTGCTCCAGACGGTTTTAAATTTAGAGTTCACCCTTTGACTGCACCTATTAAAAATGTTGTTCCATTTAGTTCGGATGAAATAGTTCATCGATTAAGTCCTTCGGTGAAAAAAAAACGCAATTCTTATATCTGGAATGAATACCACGCATATCCTATGTCAGTGTAAGAAGGCTATGAAATAAATTAATCGCCTAACATCGCAATCATTTGTATTCTGAATGTAAAAAAAGATTGGTGAAAAAAAAACTGCAAAAATAAGTGCAATTTCCTTGTGCGACTTTTTGATATGCAATCTACAGCAAAATTTTGCCTTTCTCAGAGATAAAATCTGTAATAAATTCGAGTGTATGGGCAGGGTCTAGGTGGCAGTTTTCCCAAAAGCCCTGCACTTGTCGCGGATATGGCCGTTCTGCCCGCGGCTCGCGCTCCCCTGCGGCCTACCGGAATCCGATCTATTTCGCCCGCACCCTCTCCGAATTGATTATCTCTGGTCAGCCCCGTTCATTACGCGCTGACTGTTGGTTTTACGCATCTGTGCTGATTGGCTATACCCGAGAAGAATGCCATCTGTCGCGGCACCCCTCGGCGCCCGCCGCTCGCTCCCCGTCTTCGATCGCGCCCCAGGCGTTGTCCGGCAATGTCCCTAATGTACCAAACGCCGTCCAAGATTTATCGCCCGGTCCGGGGCGCGCTGACCGGTCGCTTCCCGTTCGGTACGTCTCGCTGCACATCGCCCAATCGATGCGCTCCCCGTCCCTTTCGGAGACCAGTCGGTGGTGGTGTCACGAGCGAAAAACCAAGCGGCGAGGGCCGGCGGACGCTGGACGCGGGGCCGAGCGGGGCGCATTCCACGGAGAATGGAGTTCGGTTGTGGCCGACAGCTCCCTCTGACCACCGCGGATGGGTGATCTATCAGCAGAGCGCGGGGACGACCCAGCCAGTGGTGCAGACAGGTTCTTCGCTGATCGATGCTGGTGATCGGTCAGCGCCAGAACTGCGGCCGCAGTTGTCTCTCCGGAAAATGTCGAGACATTTTTTTTTCGCTCTAGAGCTAAATGATGCGTGGAAGCTTCTTTTGAGGCGAATGCAATTGCTATGTACCCGATACACACATTACACATACACAAATAACAATTGTTGACGTCAAACAACTGTTCACTCGAGAACTCAGGAACTCGATTATTTCACGACTCCAATGTGTCGTTAGATGTATAATAAAAAATTGATTGAGTTCCTTTTGAAATAAAATACTTTCTCAAAAGAAATCCCTAATGCATCACAAAATAAAAGAAACAAGTATAATGAATAAAAAGCAAGAGCTGGGATTCTAAAGCTTGAGCCGTTTCTTAGGATCTTTACCACACGTGTATGGCATTTCGTGAGAAGTCTACGCCCATTGGCATGCGTGATTTTAACTTCAAAAGATATCCCTAGATTAAAGTCGTTCGACGTCTTCACTGAATCAAAGGCACCATCAGCAAGACATTATGCATCAGCCATGACTGTGCCTACCCAGCATACATTTAGCAGTATTTGGGCCCCAGACCAACTGCTGGAACTTATTAATTTAACAGGGCTTTGCATGGCTTGGTGGCACCGGTTCATTGACTACATCATATCCATACGTGGGAGCAACTCCGAGAAGAAGCACGTCAGAATCGTACCGGTTTACCGGTCCACAACGAACCACGTGTCTTGCGCTGCCCACGCGCGCCGTACTACATAACTTGTGACCGGAAGCTGGGAAGGGGAAACTACCCATATCCCGCGACCCACGGGCAGTGTAGCCAGCCCTACCGGCCGGGTAACTGAATCCGACCGTCTCTGGATTCTGGAAGCGCTGTGTTTGCTCCGGTTGGCCACCAAGTGTAGCTCTTGTCGGAAATGTTTTGTGGTGATGATCTCGACTCGTGCGCTCTGTTATGGCGCTAGTGAGCACTAACTGAGACTCGCCGCTCTAAAGAATCCTTATGTCAAGCTGGCTGCTTCTTTTATGGACGGCACGCACGCCGCAACAGAAATTCTCCGTCGAAAAATGCTGACAAACAAAGTGAATCGCTGTCTTCTAGATCCGTGAGGTGGGCTACGGTACGAAAAACGTTATACGTACTCGTATAGCAATATAACTTTTAGGGCGCGATGTTTGATATCGGAAGGTAAGAACAAGTGCCTCTTCCTAATTGTATAACATTCTTTTACTGTTTATCAAAGCGCAACAGTTAATAATTTGACGAGCATGCCACACTGAAAACAATTTAACCCAAGGCTGGCGAGTAAACCGGTGTTTTACGGGTACCCCTATCCGCAACCATTTTTAACCACCCTCCCAAGAGTAGTGCTAGGTCCCATTGCGGTGTAGTCGTACTTGCTCTGAGCGGATATAACCGCTGTCAGTGAACAAGTCCGCTGAGAGCAGGGACGACTACACTGCAATGGGACCTTACTGTACTCCTGGGAGGGTGGTTAAAAATGGTTGCGGATAGGGGTACCCGCAAAACACCGGTTTACTCGCGGGCCTTGGATTAAATTGTTTTCAGTGCAAGCAGCATGCGGAGGCAGCAAACCAGCTTTTCATGGAGTTCACAGTCGGATCGGCACCTTTGATAACGTTCTCTGGCTCACTTCACATCCTTCATCTCCTGCCATTGTCTCCCTCCGCTCACCTCTCACGCAGTTCGGCGTCTCACCTCGGACAAGTGTGACTCTTCCCACCCAGCCCGGCCCACAGCCGCCGGCAGGACACGCCAGTCGTCGATTGCGATTGTGCGATCCACGCACCTTGTTAGTGGCCGTATTGAACATCTGCCCGCTCCAACCGGAGCCGTCCGTTCCGTTACCTGTCAACGCGAGGAGCGGCGCTCTCCGACCGGGC